ACTAGCTTCCACTCTAGTAAACAATACCATTGTCTCAAGACTAGCTTCCACTCACTTTAGTAAACAATATCATCGTCTCAAGACTAGCTTCCACTCACTTTAATAAACAATACCATTGTCTCGAGACTAGCTTCCACTCACTTTAGTAAACAATACCATCGTCTCAAGACTAGCTTCCACTCACTTTAGTAAACAATACCATCGTCTCAAGACTAGCTTCCACTCACTTTAGTAAACAATACCATCGTCTCAAGACTAGCTTCCACTCACTTTAATAAACAATACCATTGTCTCAAGACTAGCTTCCACTCACTTTAGTAAACAATACCATTGTCTCAAGACTAGCTTCCACTCACTTTAATAAACAATACCATTGTCTCAAGACTAGCTTCCACTCACTTAAATAGTCTTGAGACAATGATATTGTTTACTAAAGTGAGTGGAAGCTAGTCTTGAGACAATGGTATTGTTTATTAAAGTGAGTGGAAGCTAGTCTTGAGACGATGGTATTGTTTACTAAAGTGAGTGGAAGCTAGTCTTGAGACAATGGTATTGTTTATTAAAGTGAGTGGAAGCTAGTCTTGAGACAATGGTATTGTTTATTAAAGTGAGTGGAAGCTAAACAATACCATTGTCTCGAGACTAGCTTCCACTCACTTTAATAAACAATACCATTGTCTCAAGACTAGCTTCCACTCACTTTAATGAACAATACCATTGTCTCAAGACTAGCTTCCACTCGCTTTAATAAACAATACCATTGTCTCAAGAATAGCTTCCACTCACTTTAGTAAACAATACCATTGTCTCAAGACTAGCTTCCGCTCACTTTAATAAACAATACCATTGTCTCAAGAATAGCTTCCCCTTCCCCTTTAGTAAACAATTTCCACTGTCTCAAGACTAGCTTCCACTCACTTTAATAAACAATACCATTGTCTCAAGAGTAGCTTCCACTCACTTTAATAAACAATACCATTGTCTCAAGAGTAGCTTCCACTCCTTAAGTCATATTTAATGAAGAACGATTTTCAGTTAAATGTCAGTTATTTGTTATATGTGAATCCTCCTCATTAAGTGTTCTTTTTCTACCTACTTTTCTAGTAATAATTCTCTCTCTCTCCCACTGTCTCTTTCTTTAGTTCAGGCACTTCCGCTTCTCTCGTATCCACTGACGTTATTCTCTTTGTACTCCGTCTGCGTTTTACTGTTGCCTCCACTAAATAATATTCCGACATATCAGTCATTCCACTACAAACCTGCTAAGCCAGGTCTGTCCAACATTTATCCACCGATGCATATTCTAGCAAATTGCATTTACTGTGCACTGCATCATATCTCGTAAACTTGTTTATCATTTAAAATAAGTGTTGCGTATTACTGAACCACTTTCCATACATAATTCATTTAGAGGCCCCATTGGTATTTGTGCCTGACACTCCAAACTTACATAATATGCATTCAGGCCACCCACATTTATTCTCTCGCTTAGTTCAAAACTCCCTAAACATATACTCAACACGTCTCGTATTCCACTTTAATTCCGAGCCACATAATACTAGAATTTAATGACTTAAACTCTCTTCTATTTTTCCACCTTTGATAATTTAATACTGGAGTTAGTTCTTTCAGTTATAAGTAGTTTAATATCATTTACTCTCTTCCACTGAAATTCTCTAATCTCGTTTAACTTTGTTTAAGTTAGTATTGGATCATCCAACTTCTTCTCACTCACATGATTAACGAGAATAAAATGGCACAATAATGTGACTGGAACAACACACAAATAACTCGCACATAGGAGATTGAAATTTATGACTACGTCATAAAGTTCAGTCTCCTGTACTCACCTAGTTGTGGTTGCAAGGGTCGATTCATAGCTCCTGGCTCCGCTATCCTGTGTGGATTATTTCTGCATAGGATTAACAATCAACGCTCATTCCAACAACCCATCTTCAGAATTTCCTTCGTTTCACTTTCAGATATTGATGCTGAAGGAGAGGTTACTATCCCCTTGCTAGTAATGTATAGTCAACCACAGATAGACAAGTTACACGGTCCGGAGGTTAGTATCTGGCAGCTGGGATAAACACAAAACACTCGGAAATACACCTCTTGATGTATATTAACTGATAAGTAGCTTTTTCTATTTATATATACTGAGAAGTATGTGTCTGTGTATTTACGCTGACAGGTATATACCTTAGGGTGTGTAAATACTGGAGAATATCACTGTGTATACACTGTGAAACATTACCCTCTTTATAAAATGAAAACTCTCTCTCTGTATACGGTGAGAAGTTTCTCTTTGTGTATCTACACACAAAAGTCTCTCTCACAATGTATATGCACTGACAAATATTTCACCGTGGATATATGGTAAGAAATTCTCTCTCTCTCTCTGCACATATACACTGAGATGTGTATCTCTCTCGGTGAACATCCGCTCAGTACTGTCTCTCAGGACAAGTCTTGTCATGAGACCTTGCTTACTTCCCTCTTCTGTTGAAAGTCCTTCATCAGAAGAGGGTAAAAACTCTCGACCAAAGGAATTAGAGTTTTCTTCTTCCGAGCATCAAACTTGATTGCGTCTTATTTCTCAGACACTGCACGACCCATACACCTTTAGCGTTTCCACTTGAAAACAACAATAATAATAATAATAACATTATTACCATTCTTCTTCTTATATTATTATTATTATTACTAATTTTCTTGAGTTTGTAACCACATATATATACACAATGGGTAGATTAGCTATGTGATAGTATTGTGATACGTGAAATGACTAATATCCTGACGTTAGTAGTAAGCATTTTTTCTCTAGTATGACCTGATAAAAACCATTGTGGCTTCTGTTATGCTGGTTTGGTGCTCTAACTCTCACAGAATGAACTGTGGGTGCATAATAAACTCACAGGATGAGCTGTGGGTGCACAATGAACTAGCCGCTCAGGTGACACACGCTAAAAACTTGTAAGGTTACTAAGGCACTCACCTGTTATGTCTCCGATACCGTCGGGATGAGCGTCGTAGAGTGAGGGAGGATACACCTGGAACACCACGCTCGTCTTCCAGAAAGGCTCCGTGACTTCTTTATCCCGCTTCCCGTACCTGGATACCACTTAGTTTTACTACCTGACTGGCACAGTAGAACAACAACACAGAAGACACTTACAAAATACCTCAAATAACATTGTCCGTGATGGTTAGTGCTCCTGTTTTTATATCATCGTTAATGTTGAAGATGCAGTTAACAGGTTATATTAACAGGTTATATTAAGAGGTTATATTAAGAGGTTATATAAACAGGTTATATTAACAGGTTATATTAACAGGTTATATAAACAGGTTATATTAAAAATTATAATAGGTTATATTAACAGGTGTATCAAAAATTACACATTTGCCAACCATTATTTCAGCTGTGTTCCATCTGCTTCAACACGACATTTCGCAAATCTACGGCATTATCCTTCAGTGAACCACAATGTGAGAAAGAAAGAAGAGCACAAAGTGCTAAGTAGCGTCATTGATGCTACAAATGAAATTCTGGATCTAAACAATTATAGACACACTGATGAAAAAAAAAAACACGTCATAGCCTAATAACAAAACAAGGTTCTTCACTTGAAACACAAACTAGAAATATATGCTAAATATTAAGCTCATTCTTTCTCCTTATTATCAAGTCGTTCAGAGAAAACAAAAAAAGATCTGCAGTTTTCTTAAGAACTTTTATATAATAACCAAGAAACCTTTCGGATCAGTCATGGATCCCTTGCATCTTGGGTTTCATAGACTAGTTTTTATTTTCTCATCCCTTCTCAGCTTCTCTTTCTATGACCACAGTTGAGAATTAGACACATGTGCAACATCTGGGTATCTTTATTGTAGACGTTTCGCCATCCAGTGGCTTTATCAATACAAATTCCAGGACATAACTTGAAGACAGTAGTTCTACTATCTTTAAGTTATGTCCTGGAATTTGTACTGATAAAGCCACTGGATGGTGAAACGTCTACAATAAAGATACCCAGATGTTGCACATGTGTCTTAATTTCATCTTGTATACCATTCTTGTACACACACACACACACAACACACACACACACACACACACACACACACACACACATATATATATATATATATATATATATATATATATATATATATATATATATATATATATATATATATATATATATATATATATAAGTATTACTTTGCAGTGAAGCAGACGATGATGATGACGACAACACCGATGAAGAGTAAGGCGAAGAGAAACCCAAACACAGACTTATGAGCCATTTGTCTCCTGAAAGTATAAGACATATCATTATTATATTATATTATTATTATTATTATTATTATTATTATTGTGTGTCCCAAAGGTTGAACTTAAACTGCCTGAATTATTTTTTTTACTTGTTATTTTACTTTGATTTGTTCTAACTTGACAATAGTATTTCCTTCATAACAACAATCACTTCTTCAAAATTATAGGAACAATTAGCATGTGCCGGTGGTGTATTGTGCCATTCCCAGCACTGATAACTTCCAAAATCCTCTGCTGCTTGGCTTTAAACGCTCATAAAAGACGCCTCCTAATTCGATGACGGCAGATAGTGAAATTCAGCCTATCGGTACACATCTGCCAGGCCTATATGTAAATAGTTCTATTTTGTTCACATTAAATCACATTAAGTATAACTGAGGTCATCTTTCATAAATGGCTTTAGTATTTAATGGCTGATGAACTTTACAGCCAGGATGGTATTCATTAGGCTAGTGTGTGTGTGCGCGCCAATTTGCAAATTTACTCTTTAAAAAAATTGGAATCAGTGTAATCGATTACATTGTTCAGCTCGGGTGTGTTTTAAGGAGAGAAGAACTTTAGAAACCGCAAGACGTGTTCTCAGCTTCCAATTCTTTTCTTTACAATTTCAAAATGTCTTACTCGATCTGTTTCATATTTTGATAAACGAGACACTTGTGCAACATTTTGGGAATCTTCATTCCGGAAACGTTTCGCCACGCAGTGGCTTCTTCAGCCCAATGGAGAAAAAGGTGGAAGATGAGGAGGAGTTTGAGGTAATCAGTCCCTCAGCCTAAAAGGCTGTGTGTTCAGTCCATCAATCTTGACGAAAGCACTTTCATCGGTCCGACTTGAACCGTTCACAGTCACACGTCGTCGTCGTAAGCTTCTCTCTACTACGTGCGGGTTATTGTATATTGTTCCAGTCACGGTATTGTGCATTCTTCTTCTTTTCCAGTATTTAAATATTTTCAGAATCTTCCGATTTCTTCAGCCCAAAATAAATCCAAAATTTTCTCTAAAATTTCTCAGCTCTAAAAAAAAGTAAGCTTATGTAAGCTTAGCATACATAACATACAACTCATTACCAATGATCTTGAAGGAACATAGATGTTACAAACACACAAAATAACATTATGTTAAATTAATAAAACTGACACATAATTTACACAACCTAACATTAAGAGATTGTTTTCCTTGAGGGAAACACATCAGTACCGAAAGTTTCAAGCCGACCAGAAGATGCATTATCCAGTTATTGCACAGAATCCGATGCAGTTTGGGTCTGTATCATGACAGGTGGTGCATCTCACGCGCCACATGGCAGGTGGTGCATCTCACGGGCCACTTCATGACAGATGGTGCATCTCACAGATGCACCAGTGTTGTACAGTGTCGGTACTGGACTTCCAGGTTTGTACTATGGGTAAGACTATGTTAGGTATTAATGACATCTCACCCCCTGATCCCATAGCTTACCATACCTGGTGTATTACCATACCTGGTGTATTACTATACCTGGTGTTTACCTGGAGTTTACCTGGAGAGAGTTCCGGGGGTCAACGCCCCCGCGGCCCGGTCTGAGACCAGGCCTCCTGGTGGATCAGAGCCTGATCAACCAGGCTGTTGCTGCTGGCTGCACGCAAACCAACATACGAGCCACAGCCCGGCTGATCCGGAACTGACTTTAGGTGCTTGTCCAGTGCCAGCTTGAAGACTGCCAGGGGTCTGTTGGTAATCCCCCTTATGTGTGCTGGGAGGCAGTTGAACAGTCTCGGGCCCCTGACACTTATTGTATGGTCTCTTAACGTGCTAGTGACACCCCTGCTTTTCATTGGGGGGATGGTGCATCGTCTGCCAAGTCTTTTGCTTTCGTAGTGGGTGATTTTCGTGTGCAAGTTCGGTACTAGTCCCTCTAGGATTTTCCAGGTGTATATAATTATGTATCTCTCCCTCCTGCGTTCCAGGGAATACAGGTTTAGGAACCTCAAGCGCTCCCAATAATTGAGGTGTTTTATCTCCGTTATGCGCGCCGTGAAAGTTCTCTGTACATTTTCTAGGTCGGCAATTTCACCTGCCTTGAAAGGTGCTGTTAGTGTGCAGCAATATTCCAGCCTAGATAGAACAAGTGACCTGAAGAGTGTCATCATGGGCTTGGCCTCCCTAGTTTTGAAGGTTCTCATTATCCATCCTGTCATTTTTCTAGCAGATGTGATTGATACAATGTTATGGTCCTTGAAGGTGAGATCCTCCGACATGATCACTCCCAGGTCTTTGACGTTGGTGTTTCGCTCTATTTTGTGGCCAGAATTTGTTTTGTACTCTGATGAAGATTTAATTTCCTCATGTTTACCATATCTGAGTAATTGAAATTTCTCATAGTTGAACTTCATATTGTTTTCTGCAGCCCATTGAAAGATTTGGTTGATGTCCGCCTGGAGCTTTGCAGTGTCTGCAGTGGAAGACACTGTCATGCAGATTCGGGTGTCATCTGCAAAGGAAGACCTGGTGTATTACAATACCTGGTGTATTACCATACCTGGTGTATTACCATACTTTGTGTATTACCATACCTGGTGTATTACCATACCTGGTATATTACCATACCTGGTGTATTACCATACCTGGTGTATTACCATACCTGGTGTATTACCATACCTGGTGTATTACCATACTTGGTGTATTATCATACCTGGTGTATTACCATACCTGGTGTATTACCATACCTGGTGTATTACCATACCTGGTGTATTATCATACCTGGTGTATTACCATACCTGGTGTATTACCATACCTGGTGTATTACCATACTTGGTGTATTACCATACTTGGTGTATTACCATACCTGGTGTATTACCATACCTGGTGTATTACCATACCTGGTGTATTACCATACCTGGTGTATTACCATACTTGGTGTATTATCATACCTGGTGTATTACCATACCTGGTGTATTACCATACCTGGTGTATTACCATACCTGGTGTATTACCATACCTGGTGTATTACCATACTTGGTGTATTACCATACCTGGTGTATTACCATACCTGGTGTATTACCGTACCTGGTGTATTACCATACCTGGTGTATTATCATACCTGGTGTATTACCATAATTGGTGTATTACCATACCTGGTGTATTACCATACCTGGTGTATTACCATACCTGGTGTATTACCATACCTGGTGTATTACCATACCTGGTGTATTACCATACTTGGTGTATTATCTATACCTGGTGTATTACCATACCTGGTGTATATTACCATACCTGGTGTATTACCATACTTGGTGTATTAATCTATTACCTGGTGTATTACCATACCTGGTGTATTACCATACCTGGTGTATTACCATACCTGGTGTATTACCAACTTGGTGTATTATCATACCTGGTGTATTACCATACTGGTGTATTACCATACTTGGTGTATTACCATACCTGGTGTATTACCATACCTGGTGTATTACCATACCTGGTGTATTACCATACCTGGTGTATTACCATACTTGGTGTATTATCATACCTGGTGTATTACCATACCTGGTGTATTACCATACCTGGTGTATTACCATACCTGGTGTATTACCATACCTGGTGTATTACCATACTTGGTGTATTATCATACCTGGTGTATTACCATACTTGGTGTATTATCATACCTGGTGTATTACCATACCTGGTGTATTACCATACCTGGTGTATTACCATACCTGGTGTATTACCATACCTGGTGTATTACCATACCTGGTGTATTACCAAACTTGGTGTATTATCATACCTGGTGTATTACCATACCTGGTGTATTACCATACCTGGTGTATTACCAAACTTGGTGTATTATCATACCTGGTGTATTATCATACCTGGTGTATTACCATACCTGGTGTATTACCATACCTGGTGTATTACCATACCTGGTGTATTATCATACCTGGTGTATTACCATACCTGGTGTATTATCATACCTGGTGTATTACCATACCTGGTGTATTACCATACCTGGTGTATTACCATACCTGGTGTATTACATACCTGGTGTTTTATTACCATACCTGGTGTATTACCATACCTGGTGTATTACCATACCTGGTGTATTACCATACCTGGTGTATTACCATACCTGTGTATTACCATACCTGGTGTATTACCATAGCACTGGTGTATTACCATACCTGGTTTTACCATACTGGTGTATTACATACCTGGTTTACCATACCGGTATTACATCGTGTTACATATGTTATTACCATACTTATTACATCATCCTACCTGTGTATTAATTAACTCGTGTAATTCCAATGTATACATTCCTTGTATTACCATCTGTATTTTACATACTTGTATTACTACTATGTATTACATACCTTTATTCATACTTGTTCACTCATTTATAATGGTATCTAATTTATGTTAGAATTGTTTATCGACAAATCAAATAGTGTAATTATACTATAAAGATAATAACTTAATAAGTTGCACTAAATCATACTTGTAGTATTAATAACTTTCAATTATAATAATTCATTACAGTATATTTTCTTTATTTATCTATTACTAGAACATTTTACAATGTTTATGAATGCAAATATCGATCCTGATATTATCTCTGACAACGGCAATAACAATCTAAAAATAATGCCAATAATTACAGTGCCATCAGGAATATACTGTACTCAGTGCAAATAACTTATATACATATTCAATTATTATTACATTACTATAAACAATAGACACTTCTTTAAATGTTTCACTGAATGTTAAATATCATCCTGATATTATTCTTTCGGAAACCATGGCAAACATGCACTATAAAAAGTGCATCTTTGCCTACCAGGGTGTACCACGCCACAAACAACCTAGGTTCTAGCAACATAGGCGACACTAACTCTGAGATCACAATTATTGAATCACTGCTATTCACGGGAAGTGGTTGAATTTATCATTATGTAGTTCTCATCGTAAACCAGTAAAATGACATATAACATTTGACCTGA